TACATATATGGGTGACGGGTCTTCATAGAGCTAAATAATCAGAGGGTTCTTCTAATCATTATCTGGCTACCAAATTGTATTGTACTAAATTATTTGTGAACATAGATGCTTCTTGTAGACAAGTGTTGACTTAGGGGCCTATGTAACTTATATATCTAACAGGAACTCCTGCAGTGTGAGGCATGCACAGAGAAGTGTGCACTGTGTGCACTTGATGTGCCGGGGGTACATATGACGGAGCGCTATGATGCCATGCATTCGAAAGGCCAAGAAACGCTACCGGTAAGAATAATGTCTTGCGTAATCACAGACAGTGAACCTCAAATGTACCCTTTCAGGACAGATACGATAACAAATAAAAAATTAAGTGAACGTGAAACTGCACGTAAAGCTAGGGTACGTACTGCGTTGTATCCAAATAATGGTATCTTAGATGGTATAGTGTAGTGTATAATATGACTATTTGATTACACTCTAGTTAAAAGTCATGTGTAAGTTTTTCTAAGTCATTACATTGTTTCCAGATGACAGTAGATACAAAGAACTTGTGTTTATTGCAAAGCAGGAAATTTCCGTAGTGGTAATTGTCTATGTGTGTCATGAAATGCTGAAAATAGAAAATCATGTAAACTTGCAGCGTAGGGGAAGGAAGAGAGATATATCACCTGATTCTGATGACAGCTCAGAAGAAGACCTGGTAAGTAGAAACATAATCCTAAAAACTTCAATCACTATATTATATATAATACATGCCGTTCTTGCCAACACAGTTAACTAAACATTTCTTTCTTGAAAGCAAGTGGACATTTAACTGACAAGATAATAGGTCACAGTGTGTCCAAAATTCATTTCAGGTGTTCATGCAAGTTCTGGCCATATATTAACTTTTTTTCTTTCAGCTAGACAAAAGGAATAACTTCGTTATTTATGTTGACATGGGTAGTTCCTGTACTAATACAAAATGCTTTCAGTCAAAGATATACGATTTTAAAACTCCTTTGCTTCAATGCGAGTGGNGTAAAATACATGCCGTTCTTGCCAACACAGTTAACTAAACATTTCTTTCTTGAAAGCAAGTGGACATTTAACTGACAAGATAATAGGTCACCGTGTGTCCAAAATTCATTTCAGGTGTTCATGCAAGTCCTGGCCATATATTAACTTTTTTTCTTTCAGCTAGACAAAAGGAATAACTTCGTTATTTATGTTGACATGGGTAGTTCTTGTACTAATACAAAATGCTTTCAGCCAAAGATATACGATTTTAAAAGAAGCAAAGGAGATGCGAGTGGCCAAGAAACTCCGCAGCCAAGTACAAGCGAAGTGTGTGCTCACTCACCAATGTCCATGCCAGATCTGGTAAGAAGATTTGTTATTTAAAATATAGTGTTCCGTGTTATTATGTGTACTAACTACACATTTACCTTAATGCCACGTAAAGAGTATTTCATTTTCTGCCAACGTATTACCGACAGAAATGGAGAATTATTCGCCGTTTTGTAGAACTACAAGTTTCCTTGAGGTCGTATGCATTCTCGTAGGCTCATATACATATGGAGAGAGAGAGAGAGAGCGAGCGAGCGAGAGAGAGAGAGAGAGAAGGAGAGAGAGAGACGAGAGAGA